ATTTTTTTTTAATTTTTAAATTTGTTTTTCTTTATCCAACATATGTTCGTAAATAAAATTTTGAATGCATATAAAATCAAAAGGGGTAGCGAAGCGCACCGGGTTCAGCTAGTATTACATAAATAGGTAACTACGTGATACATGTTTTTTAAAACTGTAATACAACTGACGCCTTTCAACCAGGGTCGAATGAATGAGCCATAATCTTTTTTCATGTCACACTTCACCAATAAATTAGCAACAATCTTATATCCAATGAAGCCGTCCTCCATGTATTTATGTAATTGTTACCAAAATACGTGGAAATTAAACTTGGACAGAACTCATTTTGTTTTTATTTTTACATCTCTACCAACTTTTTCTTAAGAACATAAATAGTCTTACTGTTTATTTTCATATTTGCTTCCAAAGAGTTGTATTACTTGCTTTTCCATCAAGATTAACCCAGTTTCCTAGCAAAGTTCCTTAAGACGGAGACCAGGGGCTGGATTCTTGTTTTATGAAAATATGAAATGAAAAATATATTCTTTATAAATTTTTTCATTTGACACTTCTTTCCTCTATAAAAGTTTTCATTTCACATTTTCATAGAACAAGAATTGAGGCCCAGGTCCTCAATTCTTGTTCTATAAATGAAAACATTTATAAAAGAAAACCAAATAAAAAACCTTGTTAGAGGAAATATTTTTCATTTCATATTTTTATAGAACAAGAAACCAGACCCAGATCTTAGAAAAACCCTTTGGCTCACTCGCATTAATTTTGGTTATTGAAATGTGAACGCGGATACAAAATGGCAAAAGTATGTTTTTTTGTTATTGACTTACGACGTGCAACAATCCAACCAAATGAAATGCTCCATTTTTTTCCAAAAAGTCGAAGTGCTGCATTTCGATGTTGACAAAAAGCATCACAGTCTCATTCAATCCTTGTACTGGTCTCGAGGAGGGATGGTAGTTCGCCAGTAACGTTTTCTTGAGCAAATCCCTATCCATATCGCCCGTTGAAACTATAAAAAGAAATTAGGTGTTACAACAACCATAATTTACATGTGAATGCCTACCATGATCTGCTCCACTTGCAGATGCTATAACTCCCGCGAAAGCAAAACAAATCGACAGAGCCAGCATTATTTTAACCGACACTCTTTGGCACAACGTGAACACGACTGCCTTCATCCAATAACTAAGACAAGCAACTGTCGCTGACTACCCATTTAAGACACACTGCTCTTCGCGTTTAATTCAGATTTATAAAAACAACATTAGAATTCCAGATTCCTATGTGTAGCTTTCTCTGTAATCCAATTGAAGTAATTGTCTAACAAGCTGCAATAGGGAGCCTCACACTAGTAATCAATAAATTATCACGTATTTTCCAAACTATATTGCAGTCATTTCATGCACACATACATTATGTCGCATAAAATTTTGCAAACCATATGATACCCTACAACACTACAAATATTAGAAACCCCTTATTTCCAAATCCATTTTGGAAAATTTCGCTTTTGAAATTATGTCACGGAGCACTGCCCACATATTACCCTTAGCATTTTGACCGGGAATATTTGCCCAATATTTACGTACTTCATCGTGCTGTTAGTTGCTGTGTTCCATTTTACAGCTATATATATTCCAATTATCATCCAAAATGCTAGACTTTTTCCCCGTCTTTAACTCTCTTCTCAGGCGTGTTTATTGGCTTCAATTGTTTGATAAGGAATTTTTTTCTATTTTTGGTTCATTTGAACCCCTAAATATTTTGCGATCATCTCCAAAAGTAAGAGTCCTCTCTGCATACCAAATTTAGACTCATCTATAAGATATGCTTTTGCTTTGATTTGCTTGGGCTATATTCGTCAACGAAATCAGCATAAAAAAGCCAGAAGTTCGCATTTTGTGTACTTCGGATATCGCCTGTAAGTAATGTTGGTATCCTTCACACAAAAATAGTGGTCCATTCCACACGCCGTCCTAAACTCTAACTTCAAGCGAGGTTTCCATTTGTGACCTTTATAACGGTTGCAAAATCAGGAACAACTTCAGTTGTTGGTCCATTTCAACCCCAAAATATACAGCGGGCATCTTTGAAAGCAATAGGCCTAGCCCTTCTGAGCCTTACCCTACCCTTGTGAAAATTTTCGTGTGGATCGAACGATAATTGCAATCTGTATATAATAGCCCCAACCTGTGTTGTAAGGTGAAAAAATATTACAAAATGTACAACTCAATATTATAAGTCAATTTGAAAAAATCGCATGCGATAAAAATATTAATAAATAAAAATATGTCACAAAATACTACAAAATCTATATTAACATCATTATTGGCATCTTTTTATGCGATTTTTTTAGATTTTATTCTTTTGTGCCAGGAGGACATTCAGAATTTACAAAATTTGTCGGTCCAGCCATTCTTGAGATATAAGCATTTTAGCTAACATCCCCTTCCTTTGTTTATACACATTGTATATATTTCGCTATATATATTCGATATATTTACTATCGGCATCTACGTAACGGTCAGAATTGACCTGTTCGTCTATTTGTGATTTCGCCGGGACTAAAAATATTGGCGGTGTAATGAAAAATTTGACTTTTATTTAACACAAATGTTATGGTCTATTTCACCCACTACAAATTCCCCGGTGACCATCAAAATTGGAAGGTTTTTGCCCAGCCTTGAGCTCTAGCCCCATGCTAATTTCCGCGTCGATTGGCCCATAATTTCGACCTGTAGAGCAACTGCAAAATCAGAATTTTTTTCAGTTTTTGGTCCATTTCGACCCCTAAATATTATGCGATCATCTCCAAAAGAAATAGGGTTCTATTCTGACCTTAACCCCACCTCCATGAAGATCGGACCATAATTGCGACCTGTAGAGTGATTACAAATTAACATGGACAGACGAACGGACGGACATACATAGGAAGATCGACTCAGCTCGGCGAGATAGGAAGATCCATATATACTTTCCTATGTGGCAAACCAATATTTCGAGGTGTTACATAATTTTTGGTCCAATCAAACTTGTAATACCCCCAACACATAGTATTGTAGTCCCGTTTTGCATCGATCATATCGTTATCCATACTAGGACTATTTGTGATACAAAGCTTTTATAACAACAAGTAAAAAAAACATTAAGTTCGTCCGGGCCAAACTTTTAATACCCTAAACAAAAATTTCAGAAATAGATTTTTTACTAACCGTGCAATACTCCAAATCCCAAAAAAAGGAAAAATTGGTATGCGTCCTAAAAAGCATAAATAATACCTGAAACCGACACCTTCGATTTGGGAATATTTTTTTATTGCGAAGCACGATTTGTCTAATAAAAGCAAAACTAAAGAAAACCCAGTAAGGAAAAGTCGGGCGTGCCGACTATATGATACCCTACACCACTATGCAAAGCTAACGTAACAAAAGAATTTATTTCAAGTAGATCATACCACCTATCAACATTTGGCTTTAGAGCAGTTATAGTTTGCTAGAGAGTGCATGATATAACTTGGGGACGGATTAAATTAAACAAAAAAAAAAAAAAAAAATATATATATATATATATATATATATATATATATATATATATATATATATATATATATATATATATATATATATATATTTGTTTAATTTAATCCTCATATTAAACTCATATTACGCATGTGACGGACATAAAACCCAAAATCTGATGAAACACATATGTGGTAGCTATAGCTGTATCTGAATCGATTTTCTCCAATTTTGATTGACTTGCTTTTAGACAAAATTCGGTGGGATGTACCAAAATACAGGTCACAATTAACACCATTGGGTAAAGAAAACATGTTTATATAAAAGTATCTGCATTCAAAAATGTCCCACTTTAGACTACATGAAGTTAACAGGTTTGAATCCAGATACTTTTATATAAACATGTTTTCTTCACCCAATGGTAGAGAGTATTAAAAGATCGGCCCGACCGAACTTAATGTTTTTTACTTGTCTTAAATTTATATTGTTTTTATGTGAATATTTTAAAATTTGATGATAATTGGTTATTATACCTTACACCACATAGTGGTAAGGGTATTACGTATTTGTGCATTTGTTTGTTACATGGAGAAGGATGCGAGGTAAACGCATAGTTACTTTTGAGGATCTTCATAAAATCGATTTATGCATGTCAGTCCGTTCGTCCGTCCATGTATTCTTGTGAGCACAATGCAGGTCACATTTACTATCCGATTGAGATGAAATTTTGCAAACAAATGTTGAAATTGTTTAAATGTTGTTCAGGTAAGGTAAAACTACCAGCTGATTACGACTTCTGCCAATTTATGTATGTATTTATTTTTCCAGTTTTGCAATGGAATTGACACAGTTTAGATCATACTTTCGAATAAATGAGAAGATGCTGTTGCATATAGTTTTGAATAATTTTAGATACTGATGGGCAATTTTTAGAATCCAATCTTAAAGAGTTAAACTGTAAAACGTGGGGATTCAGCTTCGGCTTTTCCAATTTTGCCTAAACTCGTAAAAAGAATCAAGGGAAGGATGTTTTAGTGAGGTAAACTTTAACAAAAGTAAGAAATTACTCCAACTGTTGTAAACCAAAATTGTTAATGAATTACTCAAAATGTGTAATAAAAACATGTACTAAAACGACGGGTCACGGCTCGTTTTTAGTCTCCCACCACAATGTGCTGTGCATGTGAGATTATTCTCATTAAGTATAGAATTTTTATTTTTGAATGAGAACATTTACACAATAATATGAATAAATAGCCGTATTTTAGAAAATCTACGTTCATTTTTATTTATTTATTTTAATGTTAATTGTTTATACAAAACTGAATTTGTTATCCTTTTTTATTGAAATGCTACTTCGCATTCCATTTTGTGTTCTTTAGATGATGTCGATTTCTTTTTTTCTGAAAAAAACTTTTGCAGCTGTGCTTTAGTTATAAATGGGTCTCCTTCCGCCTTCCTCAAATAATAAAACAGGCCAAGTAAAGGTTTATTTTTAGGGATGTATGCGATTTATTTATTAGAGACAAGTACCGTTGATTAGTTCTTGGAGTACAATTTCATAAAGTTTATTTCTACAAATTGTCTAACAACTTATGTAAGCATAACCGAAATACTAAAAAATAATTTGCCAAATGCTGTATGTACACGAAATAACATTCAGTTGGTGTGCCCCCCTAGCTTCTTACACTTGCATAAACTTGATGGGGCGGCACACATAGTACCCTTTAACTAGTTTGATTATTACCTAGTTATATCTTATCACACATAATTGTCAAATTAACTTTAAGGGCGCTTTGGGCTGCCCACGCAACGGGTGGTTCTTTTTGGGGACAATGATGGTAATCTATTCACTTGGGAGGAATATGGCGAGAAAAAGACATTTTTAAATTGGTTTTGCCTAATGAAATGTATCCGTTTGCGGCGATCGAGGCTCGAAACTAGAGCTGCAGTAAGACCAGTATGGACTTCGAGAATTCAGAGACGGGACCGGAGGTACTGGTGGCGAGGACGGCGTATCGGGGGATTCTGTCTCCTCCAATGTCCGATTGGGGTGAACAAATCCCGTTAACGTATTTGGCACAGTATGTGTTGTTATGACTTCGGCAGTCGGCGGTGAAAACCCCATGCTGGATCCAGGTGGGGAGGATGTTGTGTGGTCAACGTGCGTACTTGATGGGGTAGCATGTATATGTACTTGTGTATTGGATGTGGAGGGGTGTATGAGGGATTGCTGAGCAGGATATGGAGGATGATGTTGGTGGTGAGGAACTTTGTACGCTCCAAGCATACCAATGGTAGAGGATGCATCACAACCCTGTGCCTGTGATTGGCACGCTATCATAAGGCCATGGAAATCGAACTTGTACGCGTATCGCTTACCATGCACTTTCGTCATAATATTTTTATCATAGTAGTATCTGAAAATAAAAGAAAAGAAGGTTTATATACTACTGTAGATTAAGGGACAGAGAAGAGCAATTTCAACTCGAATTTTTTTCAGTTAAATGTTTATTCCATAATATAAGATCGCTAAACGCTGGTAACTGGGTTGTTCCCATGTCTATGTTTTGGCTCTGCAATGTCTCTTCCATGGCATGTGTTCAGGCACACAGAAAGCCCAACAGACAAACAATTGTAAAAATAAATTATGCTAATGAGATTTCAAATTGAAAAAATAATAATTTCGTCTGACGTAAATAATTTTTTTCATTTTGGGCAAAAATTAAAAAATGATAAAAGCATGAACAGTACCATGGTATAATTATTACAGGTAACAGCAAGCCCCAGCTAATTGACTTTATAGTAATACTGGTGTCAAACTCGATATGCCGTTTTGTGATTTAATTCCATTTCTTGATATGCAATAGGTATACTCATGGTAGAATTACAAGGTAACCCTTTCAGGCCAGCTGGTATCAATTTGATATGTCAAAAAGTTGTTGTAATTTGAAGTCGCCTTCATTTACACATAAGAAGATTGTTGCATGATTTCAAACTTTAACAATGCTATTGATGGAAAATCGAGATTTTACGTTTTTATAGAGTATGAGGGAAAAAGTGTATATTCAACATATGGTAGGCATAGGTAATATGGAGATCTAAAATTCGTGGATATTTGAAATAAGTGAAACAGGGAATCAATTTCATATAGGAGATAAACCTATACATGGAATTTCATCATCTTATTTGTACGGATTTTCAACTATGTTACACACTATTGACAGTGAAAGGTGAATGATTCCAAAGCATACTGGATTGGTTTGGGGAACAAAACATTGGCAATTTTTGGGGTGTGATTAAATATTGAAATAATTTTTTTATTTCAAATTGTTCGAATGTATTAAAGTTATCTATGCATAAAAGACTTCCTGTCTGCTATACATTTCATAGCTAAGCAAATAATATGCGTGGACTCACAGTAGACTCAGCCCCCTGTATCTTCTGCAATCTTTGATCCATATCTTAAGTAAGCCTGAGGAGTAAATATACCCTAAAGTACCTTTTAGGTAACATGTCACTACAGCGAGAAAGCTGACGATGTAGCAAAAAAGGGTACACCCCAGAACCACCACAAAACCTAATTTTAAAGCATCAAAAATAATTTTCCGGATATTTTCTTATGTTTGTTTTTTGATTGTTGAAAATATTTAGCAAATTCTACTGTTGGGCAAATTTTAAAAACTGTCAATATAATATTATTTTTGTTTGTTTACGGAAAAATAGTTGTCGCCTATAACACATCAACTAGCGAAAAACGTCCTTGTCAGTAAACATTGCAAGAAATTTCCGGCAAATTGGAAAACTTTATTACCATTAATACATACAATGGTAAAATTTGAAATAAGACTGTCCATCTCTGCATTTTCTGTTATTTACTTGTCAAATCAGGTCCCCATTTCTAATTTCTGTGTATACAATGGATTTATAAATATGAATTTTGACAATGAGATGTTGTCAAATGATTGCTTGACTTTACCTTCTAAATACTACCATGATGCATACAAAAGCAAGTTCGAAAAAATGGTACTGTCAAAACAGAATTTTGTAATTAAACATATGTTAAAACAAGTGAGCAAAGGCTACAGTCGAGCGGGGCCGACCGTTGAATACCCTACAACACTATAATAAACGATACAGTTTATATAGGCGAGATACTCGGAAGAATTCCACAAGATATTGTGACAAATAATAAAAGAAAACCATAAGGTTTCGTTCTCTAATTTTCGAATAATAGCAATTTTAACTAATTTGCTCATTTCCAATTTATTGGAAGATGTTGCACGTAAATGGTCTTCCTAGATCTGGAACCAATATTTCCCAAACACTTATAATCTCTCAGAAGTGGCAAAAGATTAACATTTATTATTGATTTTTGACTGAAACGCGTCTGTATGAGATACACACATTTGACTATATTCTTCAACGAAATCAGCGTTAACGACATAGTCAGAAGTGCGTCTTTCCTGTATTTGTGAATTCTCCAAAAAGTCACTGGAATGGACATTTTTCGTATTTTGTCTACAAAAGTTGGCAAACTATTTCACACATTGAATATTTTTGGATGGCCATCCAAAACTGCTTGGCTTTTTGCAATGCCCGTAACCCCCATTCAAATGTGCGTGAGGATCGGGCAATAATTACGACCTGCTGACAATTTTGAAGTTTTTTGGTCCATTTCAACCCCTAAATATATGGCGATCATCTCCAAAAAGAGTAGACTTCTATTCTGACCCTCATCTGATCCCCATGCAAAATTTCGTTAGGATCGTGCCATAAATGCGATCTGTATATGATATTCTGATATCCTAACTACTTAGTTTTGTTAGCTATAGAAATATTACCAAATGTTTAATTCAAAATGAAAATATTCCAAAAATGTGACAAAATTGAAAAAATATAAGAAAATGTTACAAAATCAATATTTTCATCTTTAGAGAGATATTTTTATGCGATTTTTTAGACGTTGTTTCTTTCCTGCCAAGAGGCCATTCTGAATTAATGAGAACTGTCGAAATCAGTTCAAACGTTCTCGACATATAAGAGATCTTTCAAGCATATCTTCTTTGATAGACATATATATATATAGCACATATTTTGCTATATATCCGTTTTGTTGGATGTTAACATCAATGTAAAGATCAGGAGTAACCTTGTCATGGCTTTGTGATTTCGCCGCGATTTAAAATATTCGCGGTTTAATGAAAAAATTTGAATTTTTTCAACCCAAATTGGTAGGCTTCTTCCCCGCCCTAAACTCTAGCTACATGCGAAGTTCCGCGTCGATTAGTCTATAATTGCGACCTGTATAGCTACTGCAAAATCCGACATTTTTTCAGTTTTTGGTCCATTTCGACCCCTAAATATTATGCGATCATCTCCAAAAGAAATAGGGTTCTATTCTGACCCTAGCACCACCTCCATTCTAAATTTCGTGATTACAAATTAACATGGACAGACGGACAGACGGACGGACGGACATACATATCAAGATCGACTCAACTCGGTGAGATAGGAAGATCCATATATACTTTCCTATGTGGGCTTTGTGATTTCGCCGCGATTTAAAATATTCGCGGTTTAATGAAAAATTTTGAATTTTTTCAACACAAAAGATATGGTCTATTTTACCCGCTAAATATTAACCGATGGCCACCCAAATTGGTAGGCTTCTTCCCCGCCCTAAACTCTAGCTACATGCGAAGTTCCGCGTCGATTAGTCTATAATTGCGACCTGTATAGCTACTGCAAAATCCGACATTTTTTCAGTTTTTGGTCCATTTCTACCCCTAAATATTATGCGATCATCTCCAAAAGAAATAGGGTTCTATTCTGACCCTAGCACCACCTCCAGTCTAAATTTCGTGATTACAAATTAACATGGACAGACGGACAGACGGACGGACGGACATACATATCAAGATCGACTCAACTCGGCGAGATAGTAAGACCCATATATACTTTCCTATGTGGGAAATCAATATTTCGATGTGTTACATAATTTTTGGCCCAATCAAACTTATAATACCCCCAACACATAGTGTTGTAGGGTATAAATATTCATTTCGTGACCAAAATATAAGAAATGTAAAACTTATGAAATATTTTTGTGTAATCTTCCATTTTAATAGATTCCGCCTCCTGTGTGTGAATAGACTTTGGTCAAATGCACAGCTTTGAAAAAAGCAAAACTTTTCTTTTATGCGTAAACGCTGTTTATTAAATATAAAATTAAAATCAATATTCACTTGGAACAAAACAAAGCAAAATGCCATTGTTCTTATTTAGGTTGCCGTCACTGTACAGAGGAGATAACCGTGCATCTCTCTTGCTTACTGTGCGTTAGTTTGCACATCGCTTCGTGCGCACTCTGTTTCTTATGATTACAAACGTGTGTATGAATGTTAACTTACCGCAAAGCTCTGCTGAGTTTATCATAGTTCATGTTCGGTTTCGCCTTTCGCTCTCCCCACAGCTTTGCTACCATATCAGGGTCGACCAACTTGAATTCGCCATTTGTTCCCTCCCACGCTATGTAGTTGTTTTTCGACGAATCGCCAAGCAGCTCAAGCAAGAATTGCCACAACTGTATCTGCCCCGAACCTTGAACAACCAATCGGTGTGAAGCGGCATTTAAAAGCTGATACGGATCTGTGCAACGAAAATATAAAATTAAAATACGTATTTCCCATATACATATGTATGTACATAGAGAACATCGTAGACTCGAATAAAATATTTCAATCATAGTAAGTAAGTATAAATAAAATGAAATATTCTCATGAATGTTTTTATACAAAGGAACAATTATTTCAAAATAGTCTCATTCCAAATAACGATTTCCAGCTATGCATTTTCCGTAATTTACCTTGTCAAATTTAACCAACTCTGTAGTGGGATTCTAGGAAACTCAAAAAGTTAATTAGAGAATTCCACTACTGATTTGTAAATACCCATGGAACAGATTAATGAATATATATGGAGAAAAGGCGACAATACATAAAGCGCTTTTTTGAGTGGCTTAAGTCATCGGCTGGCTTCTTCGTAAAAGAACAAAGGAGCGTAGGGTTAACAAGTGTAAATTATGCTTAAGTCATCGGCTGGCTTCTTCGTAAAAGAACAAAGGAGCGTAGGGTTAACAAGTGTAAATTATGCTTAAGTCATCGGCTGGCTTCTTCGTAAAAGAGCAAAGGAGCGTAGGGTTAACAAGTGTAAATTATGGACCGAAATTGACCTAAGTCAACTATAAACTCCTTTCGTCTTTCACGAAGGAGACAGCCGATGACTTAACCCAGTAAAAAACACTTTTTATGTATTCTCACCTAAAGATTACCTTGAAAACTCTACCAAGACAACTGCCAATACCTTTTCAAATTATTTAAACAATTTTGGTCGGTGCCTTTAAGACAATAATATGACTTATTCCGCTTCCAATTCGAAACTGTAAGTCTTTTATATAAATAAATAAATATTTTTATAAGTAAATAATATTTTTATAAATTAATTATCTGAAATGTTTTTTTTTTAGCAAAAAAGCATATTGTTTGGTGTAAAATCTGTCAATAGAAACCTATGATTTTAGATCCAATAAAAGTACACATGTATACTCTTAATCAGTGAAAAATTCAAACTGTAAATTTTTTATATAAATAAATAAATAATTGTTATTTTTATAAATAAATAATATTTTTATAAATTAATTATCTTAAATGTTTTTTTACCAAAAACTCGATTTAAAGCATATTGTTTGGTATGTGTAAAATCTGTCAACAGAAACCTACGAATTTTAGATCCAACAAAAGTACACATGTATACTCTTAATCAGTGAAAAACTCAAATTTGATTTGGTCATGTCCGCCAGATTTCTATACGAATGTAAGGTAAGAACAATTATTGTTAAATAACATTAGGGAAGTTTGATGGTAGAAAGTAATACAAACGTCACACGAAAAAAGAAAAATGAACGTAAACCAAGTCAAACAAGGATAAAAAACGAGCTTCTAAAACTTTTTGAACTGACCGGTCTTGAATCCTTCAACTACGACCACAAAAAATTATATCTTAGCTCTGAACATGGAAGAATTAAAAAGGTCATTTCAATTGCCAAATTAGTAATTGCAACTAGTCATCTATCATTGACGGCGTTACCTAAAATTCGACGAAATAATGCGCTACATAAATATTCAACCTAATCCCTCCATAAAATACGCTAGGCCCATACCTTTAAATCTACCAACTAATATCGTAAAAATTGCACGGTATAATTATTACAGGTAACAGCAAGTTTCAGCTGATTTGACTCTATAGTAATACTAGTGTCAAACTCGATATGACGTTTTGTGATTTAATTTCATTTCTTGATATACAATAGGTGTACCCTTTTTTGATATAAAATGTCACTGAGGGGCAATGCAAAAAATGTTTTATGCCTAATAATAGAAAAAATCGCCGTTGTACAGGGGAATGATGTGAAAGCATTAAAATTACATATTTTAAGAACTATTCTTCTGCATTTTAAATTCAATAATCCAAATTCCAAACATTAATATTTTTGAAATTAAAATAGTTTATTGAAAATTAATTGTCTTGTTTACATTTTTGGACATGTAACTCTGACACTTGTGTTACGTTCAAAAACAAATTTGTATGTGGTTGTTGTCACGATTGTTGTATAACAACACTTGCTGTTACGTGTATAATTCTACCATGTAAAAAAGGATACTTGTTAAAATTTCCCCAATTGTTATTTTTTAGTTGCAAACATTTGCGTTTTTTGTATTATGCGTTTCTATTTTCAACACTCCTAAAATAAATTGTCCAAGTGTCAATGTTGAAATTGTTCAAAATCGAAATTTTCGTACTCTTGACATATTTCAGTAACATTCATATGTTTAACTTGGGTGGCTAAAAACTTCGACGGAGTATGTCGAATTTTAGGTAACGATCATGGTATATTTGTTAAAGGTAGCAACAACCCCGAGCTGATAGTAGTGTCAAATTCGATATGACATTTTTTGATATTTAATTCTATTTTTGACACACAAAAGGTATACACTTTTGTATATAAAATTTAACTACAGTAACAATGCGAATATTTTTTACCCAATAATAGAAAAAAATTATACTTTAACAAACACCAACAGCGATGGTGCGGAAATCTTTTTCGCGGCAAAGTAACAGCGGCACCACATTAGGTAATATAACTGTATGTTTCATATTTCCTAAAATTGCAAAATGTAGAATACTTTATGCATATATGCAGTTTGGTTTCAGTTTGATGAAAGGGGTGTTGCGTTGCTCACAATTTTCTAGTGATTGCTGAAGTATTGAGAGATTTGGACCTACAGATTAAAAGTACACATTCAGGGGAATGATATGCAATCATTAAAATTAAATATTTTAAGAAGTATTATTCTGCATTTAAAAGTTAACATTTTTGAAATTAAAATAATTTATTGAAAATTAATTATTTTATCTAGATTTTTAGACACATAACAAATCAAATAACAAATCAAATTTGTATGTGGTTGTTGTTAAGTTTTTTAATTTTTTTTTTGATCTGATCAGGTGAAATGAATATTTTCTCTATTCTTGGATCCACATTGGTACTGCAATATTATTTATGTTCCCAAACAATAACTAATTAAAAACTGAAAATAGGGCATTTCCTAATAATGTCAGTGGCACCTTCTAAAAATCGTGTCGAAAAAGGACAGTCACAGTTTTTCATCAAATAAGATGCGTTTTAATATTCCGTGTTCTCGTTATGTAAGTTCTCTAATCTCAAAATTATATAATTTTGTTATAACCCCTGTATAAACATAGCTCTAGATTTGAAGTATTTTGGAGGTTTCAAATTTTGGTTAACACGGCAAAAAGCTATAATGTAAAGGTACTATTAATTATGACTCAATAATAAACCTTGTTGAACTTCAAAGAAACAACAACAATTAACAATAGAAATTAAAAAACAAGTAAACCCCATTTAGTTCGGCCGGGTCGAGCTATTAATGCCCTCCGACATTTAGAAAAGAAAAAAAATATATATATAAGAGTATCTGAATTCAAACGTGTTCTACTTTAAACTACAAATATCAGTAAGGCAGTTTGGATAATGCTGTTAAACTTTTCAAAAAACCATAAAGCGAATGAAGCCGCTTTATGGGGGCCATATCAAAATAGATAATATTATACTACAAGGATTTTTATCTATTGTTATAGGATTATGAAAATACCGAATATCGGCAGGCATCGTTATAAGTGCCCTGTAGGAAAGCATGGACTTAAATATCCAATGTTCTGCCACAGGAGCTAGGACTCATTATGAACTACAAATACCAATTTTTAGACAAATCTGGCCTCATCAGATCTACTCAGAATTTCATGCTGATCATGAATATATACATACTTTATGTGGTCTACGACAAATATTTAGACATGTTACGAACGGATGTATACCCCCTTTTTCAAGGTGGAGGGTATATATAAGATCCCATTCTTAAAAATTTAGCCTTTTCATGTTGCAAATATTAACATTTTTTATTATTTGCTGGTATTTTCAACTTTAAAAAAAGTTCTGTTAAAGTTGAAAATGTACATTTGGCTATTAGGAGAATGCAGAACACACCAATTCTGGAACACACCAAATATTATTATTAATTATATATTACCAGCTGACCCGGACCGCGTTGCTGACCCATAGTATTAGTGTTTAATGCATATTTTTAGGAAACTAATATAACTTGTAAACGTTTAGCTCTTCCTCTTAAAAAAGCATACGTTTTTATAAAAATTCTGGCTACAAATTTGGGGTTTTAATTGTTTAAGCTTAATGATAGTTTCCTTGTTTTGTGATTTATTTTTGTATTCCTTTCAACACATTTAATTAAGGGGCACAATGCACTTGGGTATATATTTTCGATTTGTTTATAGTTTTCGTCACTGCAAAAATGTCAATAGATTCACATAATGGTATTTTTTAAGTGTTTCAAATTCTCTGGCTACATGACTTTAATTTAACTATCAAAAATAAGGTGCCATCGATTTATAGATGTTAAGGTCCCCAGAAGGTATGTAAAATAGCAGAAATATTTGTTGTTGTCCAATCGTCATTTGCAATTGCGATAGAGGTCGCTGTATTCAATATGAGTCTTCGAAACTTTGTACAGGCTTTTATATTATTCTAAGGATGATTGAAGTTATAAAAGGTATATATTGGTCCTCATTTAGATATAGCTCTCAAATAATATTATCTTCTAATATCCTTCGACCAAATGTGGTCTAGTTTGGCATTTGATGATTTCAGTACAGTTAAATCTAGTCCTTTAATACTGGTTCCACCCATATAACTTGCCAATTTGAGGTATTTTGAAGGATTCAAAGTATTTTCGAGGTTATGAATCCATTATCAGAAACATTGCAGCAAAAGTCAAATTTAAGATTTATTTCCTATTCACCGGTACCTACTTTTTTCGTTATATCATCGTACTTAATTACGTTTTTAGACTTCAATTATTAGTATTATACAAAGGCCTTTTGAATTCGTAACTTTTAGAAGACCACTTTTGTCAACCTTGTGTATTCTAGATTAGGGTAAAATCCTATGTCCTATAAATCGCAATTGAGGCGCAATATTTATGTTAGTCTATGAA